GGGTTGACTCATAAACCCTGTAAAAATTCACGGGTTAAAAAATCAGGTAAAGAATTAAAACTGCCTTTAATATATTCAATTGAAAAATCAAAAACAGATAAATCAGCTTGTCAACCAGCAAATATCTGTTTGGAAACTAAATTTTTTACATCTTTTTCCAGTACTTGTTTAGCAGCACTACAATCAATGCGTAACAAGAATTTCTGATTGATTAAATCATCCTAGAATTTATAAATGCATTTAACTAAAGAAAGAATTTCCTTCTTAATAGTAGAATAATGTAATTGTGCATTTTTCCAAGCTCCTGAAGTGAAGCGAACAAGCTCCTTTATTCCTGTTTCGGGATTCTTTTGCTTAAGAATACCGCCATATCCAATGTTGGATGCATCTGTTTCAACAATTTTAAACCATGAAGAATTTGCTAGGGCTAAGCAAGGAATCTGTTTAGCGCAAAGTTTAATCTTCTGGACGGCGCGAGTATGTTCTTCAGTCCAAGGGGAAGGTGACTTCCTGAGCCGTGTATATAAAATTACTGTATCCTGTGCAAGATTCTTGTAATGGTTACGAATATAATTCAAACTACCAAGAAATCTTTGCAGTTGAGTTTTATCTTTAATTTCGCCAGGGAATTTAGAGGCAAACTCAATACTTCTGTCAATGGGTTTTTCCATCGCAAATTTCATGACCAAGAAATCTTACTTGAGTGAGGAAAATTTTAAGTTTAGGAGCAGAAACTAATAAACCACTTCGGTAAATAACATCTTTGAAAATTTTCAAATGCTTATAATGTTGATCTATTGATTTTGAAAATATTAAAATATCATCAATATAAACAATAGAAAATTCAGTATAAGGATTAAAAATGTCATCCAAAATATGTTGAAATTCTAAAGGGGCATTTTTAAAACCAAATGGCATTACTGTCCATTCATACTGTCCAAAGGGTACACAAAAAGTAGTTTTATATCTGTCCTTTTCTACAATCTGTACCTGGTAATATCCTGATTTAAGATCAAATTTAGAAAATATTACAGCAGATTGTAATCTATTTAATAGATCTTTAATGTTTGGAATTGGGTATCGAATCCAGCTCAAAGCAAGGTTGAGTGGCCGATAATCAATAACCAGTCGAGGAACTCCTTGTTCTTTTTCAGAGTTTTTATTCACATAAAAAGCTCTGCAACTCCAGGGTGAGTAACTTGCTGTAACTAGCTTCTTTTCCATTAAAGAGCAAATTTCAGTTTTGCGAATTTCCAAGTAGTTAACCTTCATATGGCTGGGACTAGCTTTGGAAGGGATCATAAGATCGGTAAATCCTTTCATAAGGTAAGGAAACAATATGCTTCTTTCTATCCCAAAAAGCATTAGGAATATCACTGCAGATATCCTTTAGCAAACTTTGTCGTATTGACTCATTTTTCTGTTACTCAGTGGGATGTACCAATCTTTGATTGATTGCTAAGGAAGAGACTTCCTGTTGCAAATAATTCAGTTGTTTTTCCTTAAAGATAATGCTATCTTTAAGAGCATTAATATGCTTATTTACGGGTTTGATCAAAAATTCAAACGTGATTGACTGACCCTGTAGAGTTGAGCATATTCCATGATAATGAATTTTCTCAATTGGCATAATCAAGGCTAAAAAGGGAGTACCCAAAATAACCTGTTGTGCCATGTTTTTAATAAGTAAGAAGGTAGATGGTAGACAAATAGCTTGTTTATAGATAAAAAAATGATTAAGTTTATACTTAATCTGCATCTTACCACCACTTGCACTGGTAAGACCTTGAGTGGTTTTCTCAAAATATTGAGTAGGGACCAATCCTTCTTGAATATAGTTCATGTCTGCACCACTATCAACCAAAGCAACAGCATTAGTGATAGTATATTCCTCATTAATTACCAAATTAATGGATATATACCATTTTTGGTAAGTGACTTGATTCAAAAGATTAAGATAATTAATCTTTATCTTTAGGCACTTCAATCTGGGAGGAAGAAGATTCTGTAGCATGATTTGCCTTGTCTTTTAAAAGCTTAATTTTTAAATCCATATTGGTTTGATGGATCTTTAATTGATGAATTTCAGCTTTTAAATTGTTAACCTCCATTCTTAAATCTGGAAGATTAGCAGGATGAGAGTTCTGGCGTTGATGTTCTAATCTGTTTAGAACTTCTTTCATGCTATAATGATTCTCAGATCTTAGAAAGTCTAGATTATCATTATCTTCTTTAGGTTGTGCAATCGCATAACCTATTTCAAAGATCTTCATTTTAATCTGAGGATCTTGAACTTGATCTATATGATCCAACAAGGATTGTTGATGGGCAATTAAGACATTTAAACTAAGCCCATTCATTTCAACGATAGCCTTGTAATAGTCATTCTTCTGGTGACAAGAACATTCTGGGTTACTATTTTCTTCTTTAGAGGAAGATGAAGATTGTAATTCCATGATTATGTCCTCGGAATCAGAAGATCCATTTTTAAAAGAACTAGTATTAACCAGTAGTTTGCTTAATTGGAGTTTTAACTCTTCACTGATTAGAAGACTGTTAAGTTTCTCCTTAGTTCTTCACTTATTGGCATAGAGGCCTATCCGTCCACATTTGAAACACTTAGCCTCTATCTTGGGCTTTCCTTTACCCTTTGCTTTTGGATAGGTTTTCCTTTTGGGCTTAGTGTACTATTTTGAATTATCAACCTTTTGTTGATATTTCCTTCGGGAATATTTCTTTTTATGAGGCTTGTTAACCTTATGTCTTTTCCTAACTTTAGGATAAGATAAAGGAGTTTGATTGGCAAATTGATCACAAAATTCACCTTCTTCCTTTTTACCCGTTAATCTCTGTTGTTTTAACTGGGACTGTAACTTCAGATCATTACAGAGAGCTAAACCTTCTTGGATTACAATGTTGACTAATCCACCATAGGTATAATTTCTGTAAGGGATAGAGATTCCATTGTTCATATCCCTTAATTTCTTTCTGATTTTTTCAGCAAAAAAGGTAGGAAGACCATCCACGAATTTTGCTTTCTAATGTTCATGATTTGTATCATGAAGCTATAAAACCTTGGCTAAGAAGACATCTTTGTACCACCAGAAATGAGTTAAAGATGGACATCTTAGATTCTGTAACAACTCTTGACTTCGTTCACTATTAGCTCCTTCAGGACCAACGAAATGTTGAATGATGGTGGTGATGAGAGTGTACACCGCATCAGCAGTTGGGCCTTCTTGCTGAGTATTTTCATCCTTGACAATTTTGACGCCTGAAAATATCTCTGCCTTCTGGATATCCGTGAGAACATTGTCCCACCATCCTTTAAGGATGCCTGTAAAACCAGCAACAATAAATTTTGTAATTGTTGGATCAGTGTTCTGGCTAAGTTTAAAGACTTGACTGTACATTAACATTTGATGTACAACCTCATAAATCTGATAGTCAGATTTACCATCGATGTTCCATTCATAAATGGTTTTTCCATGGAAAGATTTCTGAGTATGAAAATAATCCTCTTCATACAAGATATCTTGAGAGGTTGGCCGAGGATAATAATATCGACTCGGAGCTGGGGCTACATTTGAGTGGATATTTTTATCATAGACAATTTTGTTGAAGTCAGGCATATTGGAGATGGAAAAATTAGCCTGAAAATCCTCCATATGAGGAGAAAATTCATGTTCAGAAGCAGTGTTAGATTTAGTATGGGACAAAGTTTGAATTTTTAGTCCTTGAATTTTCTGAGTAAGAAGTTGGAGAAATTCCTCATTCTTTTTCTAATGAGACAACTTGAAACCTGAAACCTCAATAGCAGGTTGAACAAGAGCCTTTGATAAGGGAGCTTCTGGGGAAGGTTTGATAGAGATGGTCTTAGTATTAAGAATATTTAATACTGTGTCTACACCTGTCTCAATTCTTCCCAATTGGGACCCTATTGTCTGCATACAGACATTAGTATAATTATTCTGTTGGTAAACTTTATAAATATCTTCCTTTACAATAAAGCTAGTTTCTTTATCAATATAGGAAGATGGTTGGCTATAAGCCTTAGTTTCTACTTTAGAACCAGTTTCCTGATCTGTAGTTTTCAAAAGTAGAGCTTCAGTGGGGGGGATGGACCGAGTGAATAACTTTATCAGTTTTAGTGGTCCATGTTTTCAGAAAATCATCCAAAATATTTAAATTCATAATGGAATGATGTGTCAGACAAAACTAAGAAACAAAAGGTATAACCATTTGTTTTTCTTGAAGATATTTATAAAACTGTGTTTTAAAAAACTGTAATTTGTCTTTATCAAAAGTTTTAAAATACCAATTTCTAAACTCATGGTATTTCTCCGGTTGAAATTCAGCATTAATGGTTTTTCTATTGGGTGTAAAATCCATTAAAACTAATATTCTTCTCTTTCTTAACTTCTGTCTTCAGCCTTATCTCCAACACCCATCTCTGATAGTGTGGGACTGAACTCTATTCCGAATTCACGACGTGATTTATTCTTCGGTGCTGGTTCATAAACTCCTTGTGGAATTTTATTCTGTGATTGTTGGATTCCCTTCAGCTTGAGTCGATCAGCCTCTGTGAATTCATTTTTGTCCTTAGACATTCCTGAAATAGAGTTACGAGAAGGAGGATAGGAAACTTTATAAGGAAAATTAATTCCTCGAGATGATGTAGATCTGGGTAGATCTAAAGATCTTCTAAAATTAAGAAGAACATCACCATCATGATCCTGGATAACACAGTCCAAATTCCTATTGAGAATAGGTTTTGCAGGAACTGCATTAGGAATTGTCCAATGGTCAGGGAATGTTATTTCACTCCAAGGAATCATCCTTTTTGTGGCAACATTCGAAGTGAACATGTTTGTATCTCATATCGCTGTTACTCCTTTAGAGTCTTTGCGAATGACTTTTGGACAGTAGGTATCAAGTAACTTATAATGGATGCAATAAATTACACTTATCACCTCCGATCCAGGTAAGAAATTATACCCATGGGTCTGTACACGAAGACTAGCTGCTTCGTATATGTTTCTATCCGTCAAAGATAGATTCAGACTAGGATATACATCAAAGTAAACCGGTCCATGACATAGACTGGTTTCAGTGCACCCATCAAAGAAGGGTGAAAATCTAAACACCTAGCATCCCTAAGTGTTGCTTGAATACAAGCATCCATACCAAGTAAGGTTAAAGGTTTAAAAGCAATTTGAATTAAACCTATATGGATATATTTGTACTTCTTCATGTATCTCTGAAGATCTCCTTGAGACAATAATTTAATTATTGTGTCCTGATTACTCAATTGCATGGTCTGCTACATGGTTTTAACTGCCCACAGATCAGCTAGATTGAGCATTCCGATTTTGTAAATGCTGCTTGCATGTACGGGTGGAATAGTCCACTTGTTCAATTTATTCTGAACATCAGTAAATTCAATTAACTCTGAATTCTTGATGAATTCAGAATCCTGTAAATCCTGTTCTGCCATACTGGAAGATGGGTTTAACATGATTGTTAAATATTGTTAATGCTTAAGATCTATATAGAATAATCATTATAAAATTATGTAATGAACAGTAAGTTACTATTCTGTCATCGTGCTGCTTAAGAGAGGCCCTATTACTCGTCTATCAACAGTTTACTGGAAACAACGACCTGTGGAGCAAGTTAATGCAAAAACGGTCTAATCTTCCAACACGACTTTTGGACGACCCATAATAGAATCTACTTATAAGTAGGATTTAAACAGATTAGTATTCTCAATATTCTTTACATAATTATCATAAGAATCATCCTAAATATGCACGATTGCCAGAAAATCAAACAATTTTATCAATAATATTTTTAAATTTTATAAGAATTTTTGTCTACTTTGTGAATTCAAAGTACCATAATTTGTGAATTTAAAATAACCATGTTCATTGTGAACAATTTTATCGCTTCTCCTTACATCATCAATAAAGTATTAGATGATATAGCAAGTCTATAAAGATATATTATATGGATATGGCCAGCGTGAACAATGGTTATATGTATTGATGGGTGATATATATATATATATATATATATATATATATAGGCATGATAATTGACAAAGGCAGATTAGTATCACGGGAAACTAACTGAATAAAATATAGAATGGTGATTGAAATGGGTGCAGTGAAAGAGCTGAATGCAAAGTAATAAATAAATCAATTAAAATTTCCTAACAGATGAGATACTAATCTTTGTATGGAGCTCTAGTTGTATAGTTGCACGTACGGTCGTTTAGAGCTCTAGTTGTCGTTTAATTTTAAGTACCGAAAACGAAGCTTGCTTGGGTTTTTATGGTTTTATTTGTTTTGGTATATAATGTATTCTATAGAATTTCGGATTTTCTTGCCGGCTGGACATGCATTTATATTCTGTGACTTCACTTGAGACAAAATATGGGATTCACAAAGACAAAAAAAGTACAAAATATGGAATAGTCAACGTAGCAGGAATGGATAGAGAGAGAGGAACAAAATATGGAATTAATAGAAGTATATCACCCAGAAATTAAAGAGAGAGTGAGGCAGCTTAATTTTACCTATATGTGTGTGTAACTGTGTATATATAAATAGGTACTATACATCATCCAGAAGACATCATCCACTTGACAGACAATTCAGCTGTCTATAGGACATCTTGTAGATCGACAATGGTAAGGTAAGTCATTATTCAAGTTAACAATTATTGTACTGTTTATCTTATTGCATTGATCAATACATGTACAGCAAGGAAAGAATATTGAAGTTGACAGTAACTTTATGCGCCCATGGAACAGCAAAAAAGGAGGGTTCAGGGCTTGCACATATGTCTTCGGTAAGAAAATATACTAATGAGAAATTTAGTTTAGTTAAAGAGTTTCAATTAGCTAGATGTACGTTGGTCCCACTAAACGTACTAATGAATTTCCTTTTGATTTAATTTGCATTGGCGACCTTGGAGAACATCAGCTTCGTGGCCAACATGTCAGCAATGGTTCTCTACTTTAAGAACGTGATGCACTTTGACCTCTCCGCTTCTGCAAACACACTAACAAACTTCCTGGGCTCAACATGTATGCTCACTCTCTTGGGAGGTTTCATCTCAGACACCTACTTGAGCAGACTCAATACATGCTTGATCTTTGGACTAATGGAAGTAATGGTAAGAATGATATGTATAACATATACAACTGTCTTCCAATTAATATATATAATTGTTGTAGCTAATTGATTATTATTATTATTATATATGTATACATAAAAGGGCTAGCCCCAGTGCACAAGTAAACTATATATTTTTATTCTGCATTTTTTGAAACCATGATCTCCTCCACGTCACAAGCGCCATAGCATGGCACCCTCATAGAGTACCCTAGGAAAAAGGAGCATTTCCTCTCCCGAGCCATTTCGTGTTAATAAGATGTGGGAGGGAAGGAATGTCATAATTAGGGTTTAATTTTCTTAGAGTTTCAACAAATGAATAAATTAATTCCAAATTTTGGCAAGATGAATAAACAGATTTATATAAAAAGGATGCTAGATCCATATTTTGAATGTTGCATGCTTTAACGAATTAATTTACAGGGACTGGTGATTGTGACAATCCAAGCATATTCTGATAAGTTGCAACCTGATGCTTGTGGCGGCAAGTCAAGCTGTATAGAAGGTGGTCAAGCTCTTATGTTCTATGCCTCCCTGGTTTTGTTGGCAGTTGGTGCTGGTGGTGTAAAGGGATCACTTCCAACACTTGGTGCCGACCAGTTTGACAAGAAGGACGAAAAGGGGGAGAAGGGTCTGGCAAGTTATTTCAATTGGTATATGCTAAGTACCACATTTGGAGCCATTATAGGAGTTACTGCTGTTGTGTGGGTTAGCGAGAACAAAGATTGGTACTGGGGATTTTTCATTGGCACTGTCACTGCCATTGCTGGTTTTCTTGTTCTTGCCCTTGGGAAGTCTACCTACCTCGTCCAACCCCTCGCCAACAGCCCCATTGCAAAGATAGCACAGGTCTGTCCATCTCTTATTCTATTCTCCCTCTCCCTCTCCCTCTCTCTCTCTCTTGATGATCATGTATTTATGTAATTACATTTAATTTATATATATGTATTGTACACATGCACATTGATTTTTTTCAGGTCATAGTGGTTGCAATTCGAAATAGAGGATTGTTAGTACCAGAAAATTCTGAGCAATTGTATGAGATCAGTGATAAAGAAAGAGATCCTTCTGAAGAAAAAATTTCGCATACCAACCAATTCAGGTTAAATTCCCTATATTAATTCAATCTAAAGATTTAACCGAGCTAGTACTAATTAATATATGCCTACATATATCAATGCAGGTCCCTAGACAAAGCTGCCATTGTTGGGGAAGGTGTGAATCCGGGGCCATGGAGAGTTTGCACAGTGACACAAGTTGAAGAAGTCAAGATACTAACAAGGATGCTGCCCATCATAGCTAGTACAGTGATAATGAATACATGCTTGGCACAATTGCAGACATTCTCAGTACTTCAAGGGTATTTCATGGATCCCTATTTGGGTTCTTTGAAGATTCCAACAGCCTCAATACCAGTCATTCCCCTAATATTCATGACTTTCCTCTTGCCCATCTATGAGTTCATTGTCTTACCTTTTGCTCGCAATATCACTGGTCATCCCTCAGGCATCACACAACTTAAACGTGTCGGAGTTGGGCTTGTGCTCTCATTCGTTTCGATGGGTATAGCCGGCATAGTCGAAGTGAAGAGGAGGCATCAAGCCATTAGGGATCCATTTAAGCCCATTAGTCTTTTCTGGTTGTCCTTCCAATATGGTATCTTCGGGGTGGCGGATATGTTTGCTATGGTTGGATTAATGGAGTTCTTCTACAAGGAAGCTCCCTCGGGGATGAGATCTCTTTCTACATCTTTTGCACCACTATCGCTCTCTTTCGGCTATTTTTTGAGTACTGCCTTTGTCAACATCATAAATGCAGTTACCAAGAAGGTGACTCCAAGCAAACGATCGTGGTTACAAGGGATGGACTTGAATCATAGCCATTTGAATCTCTTTTATTGGTTCCTAGCTATCTTAAGCTTCCTTAACTTTGCAAACTATCTCTTTTGGGCTAAATGGTACAAGTACAGCGAAGATACTAATGAGTCTGAGATTTATGTGGAGGATACCAACAGGATGGATGCTATTCAAGAATAAGAAGTTGTTGTAGATCAATAAGCAGCTCATTCCACTACACTTGATTTGATCCATTAATGGAGGGGTTTAATCCTTTTCAATTATTCTGCTATTTTGTTCCGATTCCCTGAAGATTGTAATAAAAAAATTGGATTTTTTTTTTTTTTTTTTCAAATATGTTGCATTACTGCAATGACATTTTCATCTCCGTACCCCTTCCTTATTTTATTTTATTTTATTTTTTATTTTATATTTTTTTAAAAAAAAAACAATTTAAGAATACAAGATGTGTGTAGGTGCAAAACCTACGTCACATAAAGCGAGAGCGGGAGCGAAAACAAATTTGAGCGGCAGAATTAAATCATAAGCAGGTAGAATTTGAGCGAGAACACACGCGAAGCGTGAGAGCGGGAGCGCGCTCGAAGCGTAAGAGTGACACCTGTTGAGAAGAATTGTGTGACTTAACGCAAAACTCGATCAGAAAAAGTCAGAGAAAACAATTGCAACACACTCAAGAAAACAAAAACCAAAGGACAACTATTGCAGAATTTGACTCGCACTGCTTGTCAATCAAGTTCTTACTTATAAGGTATTTGTTTCCTATTAGAATTACACAGTTTACATAAAAGAATTGTGACCACACTTCTATTCCCTATTCATGCATGCTAATGAGTGATTGACTTGAAGGATACCAACAAGATATAAACAATTCAAAAATAAGAAGATGTTGAAGATCAATTTGCAGGTCATTCAACTGATCCTGATTTGATCCATTAATGAAGGAGTTTAATCATTTTCAAGTATTTTGTTATTTTGTTCCAAAATCCCAGCAGATTGTAATGTGTCTGGTTTTGGAGTGCCATTACTTAATAAAATTAGAAAGAAAAAAAATTCAAATATATTGGAGTCCTACAATGACATTTTTCATATTCATAATTGTTTTTTGGTAAGTGAAAATTGTGAGTTGCGTGGTGCGGAAGCAATTTTGTTAATTTAGTGAAACCTAATGAATTAATGACCTAGAGGGGTAAATAGGTCACCTTGATTTTTGTGATTGATTAAATTATCCACAACAATTATCGATCAAGTAATGACAATCATAAAAATACACTGATAAAGTAAAACAAGTAAAGTAAAGTTTGAGAGATCGATGACATCAGAATTTTTAGTGTGGAAAGGAAGAAATCCAACCAACCGCGAGAAAACCAACAAAGATTCTGCCGTCTCAGATAACCAATCCACTATCTTTGAAGCAAAATACAATAGACTTTGTCTAGACTAATGTTGGTCCCACCTTTGAACTAGGGTTTGCCCTTGTGAATGTCAAAATTATGTTAACAGGGCTAATATAACATTACTCAATGAATTCTGGTGTGCTCAGGGCACTTCAGTGATTTTCAGGGGTAGTACGGTCATTTACCATGTGTGAAAGCACTTTGATGTTTAGTAGGGATAGTACATTGTGCTGATAGTCCAATTTATAAGCAAATATAGGCTCTATTTTTGGTTATGTATGTGATATTTGGCAACAAAAACTCTTAGGGGCATATGAGTTTTTTCACATATTATTTGATCATTTTACACTTGCTTAGAATACTGCATTGTATTACATTGCTCAAAAATATATTCAATTTATTTGAGTATACACAGCTGCAGCAACAGTTTTCTGTAAATGATGACAATCCACTTCAGGGGTATTTTGGTCATTGCATATGATGAACACTTGTGTGACAAGTGCCCTGTTGTCTTAGCAAGGGAATATGAGGCCTTTTACGAATTTCTTAGTGACTAAGTTTAAATTATATAGCTGATATATATATTAGTTGTCACATTGCTGGTGCACTAAAGGACAAATTTGCAAAGGTGGCAGAGGCATTGTGATCCTTTTGCACAAAGAATATCAGAATATTCTCCGGCCAATTATTAAAGTAAGAATATAGATCAAGGTACCCTATATAGAATGAGCCTCCCAAGTCTTGTGTGAGCACCTTTGTAAGCTACATTGTGATATACACTTGACACCAAGAACGATGAACATTATCTGAGTTTTGAGAACAATTTGTGAGCTAATTCAACTCAAACATCCATATGGTATGAGTGTGCATTTGAAGATAATGTTCAAGATTGTGTATTGCTGGTGCAGTTGGCTGGTTCAAAAGATTAAACCAAGCTTGAGGCCATTCTTGAGACTTCTAGAGGTTGAGTATGTCAAGTGTGTTTTACCAGTTTACATCTGCAGAAACCATACTTGTATACATTTGTTAGTTGTAGTAGTGTTTGATGTCTCAAACCTCCATCTGTGCTCTTTTTTTATTTTTTTTATTTTTTCCTTCTAGTTTAGCTTTCTGATATGAGCTTATATACTTGATATCTTCTTGTGAGTTGCACTCGTCATCTGAGCAAGTTTATATAGTTGAATCAAGGTTGTTTAAGTTGAGTTTTGCACTGGAATATGGTAATTTGTGGTTTTGACCTTTGAAACCATAGATTTTAGGGTTTTCAGTTGTATAAGGCCTGTTTGTGAACTATTATTGTTATAATATGCATGTATCACTGATAAGTGCTCAAATGTTGCACATTTTAGCATCTAAGCTAGGGTATTTTAGTCCATTCATTTATCTTACTTTCCCGTTTTAGTTCTAATTCTTGTTTTTGTTTATAGGTCAATAAGGTTTAAATGGGCTAAAAACAGCCTATTAAGCTCCTTTTGGAGTCAAGAAGAAAATTTGAAAAAAGTCAGAAAAACTACACTAGAGCATCGGCGATCGATCACAGACCATGTCATTAATCGCAGGTCACGTCAGGAAAGGGATAAGACTGCCACCTCATCATTTGTTTATAGTGACGACCGATCACAGAAATTGGTGATCCATCACAATGCCACGTCAGCGCCAGCTAAATAGATAAGGTTGCCAGTTGTCAAGATAAGAAAGCCACGTCATCCACGATCAATCACCGAAGTTGGCGATCCATCGCAGAAGTTGGCGATCGATCGCCATCCTGGTGGCAGTGAGCTGTTTTATTCCCGACTTCGCCCGAACTTTTCCTACCACATGGTTGTGAGATTAGACCAATTAGAAGGCCATTTTCTGACTTGTTTACTACTCCAAGGAGCTTGTATTTAAATAAAATTGAACCATTTGTTAGGGGTTACACAATTGGTTCCATCAATTTACTACATTATTCCATAGCTTGTAGTTAATTCTCTCTCTAGAGATTAGGGTTCTTGAGCAAGAAAAGAGGCACAATCTTCATCATCCCTAGGATTTCTACCAAAAAGACCAAGAGAAAGAAGATGGAGCTAAGCTTGAAGAAAGCCCTTGAGGGTTGTAAGATCACATCCATAAGTGGCTAAATCATCCCCTTAGGGCTTGGAAAAGCCCTAGGCTTGTACTTTAAACTCTAAATCTTTGACATTTTTGGGGATTCTTTGTTGTAATGAATGTTTTGACCTTGTAAATATATAAATCTTGACTTTGTCTATGATTTGTATGGTTCAATTCTTTCAATTAATTCTCTAGTTTATTTGCATGTTTATGTGTGATTAAATTGAGAATCTAGTGATGGTTATGCATGATTGTTCTTATTGGATACTTTTATGAATTGATTTGATGTATTATATATGCTCATGTTTGATGGATTGTTCTACACCCTTAGTTAATTAGTTTAATTTCCTTGTCTCAGTGTAATTATAGTGTAATTGCCTTTAAATTCCTAGTTAGGTAGACAATCCATGCTTGAATTTGATAATCCATGTTTTTTGTTGCAAGATATATATTTCTCTAGATTGATGTATGCTACAATTGTGGGTTTATTGAATGGTTCATGTCCTAACTTGATGAGTTGTAATACATTCTAACTTAAGTAGACAATTCATGCTTGTTTTTGTCACCCATGCTCATTATTTCAATTGGTAGCACACACTTTGGTTACAACATTGAATTTCTCCAAATTATTAAAGGCTAGATGTTTAGAGGAAGAGCTTAGTGGCGATTCCTATGCCCTAAGACCTCTCTCCTATTCTTGACACCCTACTTTATTTAGCTTGTTTCTTCTTGCATTGCTTAATTTAGTTCATCATAGCTTAAGTAAACTAAACCAAACCACTCTTTTGATCACTTATCCTACTAATCCAACTTTTATTCCAAATACCTTTACAATCTCTTGGAATGATCCCTTCACACTTCATACTACATAGTATAAGTGTCTAGTGGTTTTATAAATTTTTAAATGTGGTGCCACTATTCACTCATATTTTGAGCACACCCCAAGGGGCACACCACGTTTTTGGCGCTGTTGCCGAGGATTGTCAACGGTTGTATTTGGAATCAAAATAGGAATTAGTACTCTTTTGATCCCTTGTCTTTACTTTTATTTTTGTTTTCTCACTTATTACTTTTGCAATTAGGTACTTGAAGGCAAAGAAAGCACGCATTGGACCTTGAAGCAAGCATTGAATCTTGGAGTTGCTATTATTGCTTGTGAACTTTGTGAGCGTATCTTAAACTCATTTACCTTAATTGTACTTTGGTCCTTGTTGAGGCCTTGTTATTATTGCTGAAGCATCGGTCCTTATCATGGCCACTTATTTTAAATGTTGAAAGCATGGGAGTATGGGAACATTGTATATGGAGGTTGATTGATTGTTGTTGTGGAGGAGAAGTTGTTGATATTTGTTGTTATTGTTGGTGTGTTGACTTGTTTTGTGCATGCATGGTCGAAGGTCACTTAATCTCCCTCTTGTTCCTTTGAATTTAAATCTTGAATCCACCGTTCGTAATCCAAGGGGTAGAGGTTGTTCTAGTCAAATTCTTCCAATTTTTTATCCCTCCATTACATCAATGGAAGATTATGTTGAAGACCTTGGTCATGTAGACCAAAAAGGCATGTACCATTCGAATATTGTGCAACCTAATAATGTGAGGCCACCTCTTGTTCCACGACCACCACTTAGCCAAATTCCTCTTGGAATGCCAAGGTCGATCTTTGTGCCACCTCCTCCCATAGGTCAAGTTCTTCTT